CCTAAAAGAAATCAACCCTGACTGTTCCCTGGAAGGCCAGATAATGAAACTGAAGCTCAAATACTTTGGCCACCAAATGAGAAGGGAGCACTCACTGGAGAAGACCTTGATGCTGGGAAAGATTGAAGGTCAAAGAAGACGGGGACGGCAAAGGATGAGATGGTTGGACAGTGTCATCGATGCAACGAACATGAAACTGAGCAAACTTCAGAGGACAGCGGAAGACAGGAGGGCCTGGCGGGATCTAGTCCATGGGGTCGCGAAGAGTCGGACTCGACTGTGCGACTGAACAACAACAACAACTTTGTTGTTAAGGAGATGTATAATACTGTGTCTCCTTTAGGTAAGGCATAAGAGGAACTGTATTTTGAAATATGGCCATACATTTTCCAAGGGCTATTTTTGGGCAGGAACGCACAGGAACGGAGTTCTGGCTGGCTTCAGAGTTGGCCACACCCACTACAGCCAAAACCTCTGTGTGCGTGGCTACAGAGAGAAGGCCTGGAGAGTGACCCCCCCTGGCAACTTTGAGGCGGGCGGGCCAGGGCCCCCCTGGAAGGATCGGGGAGGCATTTAAATGCCTCCCTGTGCCTTCCCTGGCCTGTTCAAGGGCCGGCTTGCCCAGGCAAGCCAAGGGAAGGCATGGGGTGTGGCCTAATGTGCTAATGAGCTGTGCTGTCAGGGGTGTGGCCTAATACGCTAATGAGTTTCTGCTGGGCTTTTTCTACCAAAAAAGCCCTGCATTTTCCTAAAGAAGATTTGTGATATGTGTTAGAAATTTGCGATTAAAATACTAATATATTTTACAGGCTTCCCCATTGTGCCCCCCTCCCAATCTGGTCATTAAGAAAGTAGGTCCATGAAGCAGCCTTATACTGAATCAGATTATTGGTCTGTCAGTCAGTATTGCCTACTCAGAGTGGTAGGAGCTCTTCAGATTCATAGGCAGAGGTCTTTCACATCACCTACTACCAGATCTTTGAACTGGAGATGCCGAGACTTGATCCTGGGACTGTCTGTATGTCAGGCAGATGCTTTACCACTGTAGTCCAGCCTTACAGCAATCTGTGCAATGGGTGCCTGCTTGCAGAAAGCATGGAAGCAGAAGCAATGTAAAATATAGGGCTGGTGGGTTGTTCCCAGTATGGTGAGCTTTGTGTGTCATAAGCCTCTGAGATATTGTTGGAAGGTGTAGAAAAGATCATAAAGTGTAAGGATGTGTTGCTGGTGACCAAGATCAAGTTAATTCATGTCATGGTATTCCCCATTATTATGTATGGGTGTGAAAGTTGGACAATGAAGAAAGCTGAAAGGAAGAAATTAGACTCCTTTGCCAATGTGGTGTTGGAGGAGAGTTTTATGGATACTGTGGACCACCAAAAAGACAAGCAAGTGGGTTCTAGACCAAATCAAACCTGAACTGTCCCTAGAAGCTTAAATGAGCAAATTGAGGCTATCATACTCTGGTCACATTATGAGAAGATTCACTGGAAAAAGACAAGAATGCTAGGAGAAGTTGAAGGCTGCAGGAACAAAGGAAAACCCAACATGAGATGGACTGGCTCCATCAAGGAAGCCATAGCCCTCAGTTTGCAAGACCTGAAGCAAGGCTGTTAACAATAGGCCTCCCGACTGTCCCATCAATCAGACAAACTCATTTGGTGGGTGCATTAGAGAGGGCCTTTTCAGTGGCAGTCTCACAAGTCATGGAACAACCATTCCAGGGAGGTGCACCTGGCCTCATCATTTTGTTTCTTGAGGAGGCAGTTGAAGTCGATTTAATTTAGGACCACATTTGGTTAACTTTACTAGCAGTCTTGAGTTCTGATTTTAAATTGTGTTTTTTATGATTCTAATGTATTTTATTTTATATGTTTATCTGTTTTGTTAGCCACTTTGAACTCTGTAAGGAAGAAAGGTGGCTAATAAATGTTTGAAATAGAATGTACAAAATCTAAGTTCTGACTAGGTTTGTATATGTTATGGAATTTCTCATGAAAAGCATACACTTCTCATCATTTTATATCACTTTCATAGTGCATAGAATGTAGCAATGATGTTTATATCTATAGGAAATTCACCAAGTCTTCAGTCTGTTGGTTTGTGGCTTTAGATCTATGATGAAAAATCCTAGATGCGTTTTATTTGCTTTGCCACACCATTGTCCTCTCAAGTATTCCATCCGGGATAGAACTGTTCATTCATGTGCACTGTGCTTGGAAAAAATTGACTGTGTCGTTTTCTTACTTCTAGACTATTTCAGTAGGCAAAGCTGCATCTGTGGAATTTCTTCAGAAGTCTAGTTCTTCACAGAATATGTCAAAAGCTAAAAGATTTTTGGGGAAGTTGGTGAACAGAGTACCTAAAGAGCTGATAACTAGTGCCTGTGAATTTTTAATGTTATCCTGGCCCAGAGTACAAGAGTTCTAGCACCCCTCTAGAATTCATCACTGGACATTTTCAGTAGCGCAGCACAAAGAAAATTCTTTTGTTTATTTCCCTAAATTTGTCTTCTAAAAACTATTTTTTTTTGTTTTATGGAAAGAGTCATTCACAGCCATTATAGTCATGGATTCATCTGCCCCATTCCAGCTTCAAAGGAAGCTCGAGGCTGGATTGGATGGCTAGGATGCAGCCATCCAATGGAAAGACAGGCAGGGTGATTAATTATTCCTCCCTCACCTCATTCTTCAGCTTTTGCTGCTTGCTGCCGACCCACCCACCTACCCACCCACCCTTTATGTAGTGGAATTAGCCATTCACAGTTTGGGGCCAAGCAGGAATTTTGGGGGGCTTCTCCCTGATTGGCACTTGAGCAGGGTCCTTTTGCACCTGCTTTTTGATGTCTAGGTTGGTGGTAGTAATGGTTAAGAATGAAAAATAATAATTGAATTTAGGATTTAGTAGGCCTGGTCTGTTGACTGTTTTAGGCCATCACTAATAGGATGGGCTGCTTATGATAGGTCAGAATTAACACTGAGCAACCTGAGCCATTGGGGGGGGGTGGAGGGTATGTCCTGACCAGGCCAGCACTTGCTGGACAGCAGGATGGGGCTTGGGAAGGAACACCTTTGATGCTGAGCAAAATTTTCCCGAACCTGGTAGCGGCTTAATGGGTGCATCAGGGTAGGGGGATGGGGCCAGGCATCTCAGCACTCTGTGTGCAGGCGAGGATAAACAAGGCTGCCATTAGCTGCTGGCCAAGTTTGGGGCTAAGGTGGATGTGCCAGAACAAAGGCAGCCATGGACAGGCTGCCTAACTCAGCTCGCCCTCAATTAAATAAATGCTAAAGTTTTCTAGCATACAGTATAACTTGATAGACCTACCTGTCTGCATTTGAAGAGATCTATTTGAGTTTGAATTAGTTCTTTCTTATTGATGTGGGAAGACAGATTACATGTTGTTGTCGAGGTGAAATATTAAGTAGTTCCTTAATGAGTTTTCTGTTCCCACTGGAATTTTTAATTGAGGTTGGTATATTCAAAAGTGTTTCAGAAAGATGCAATGTCCAGGGGTGCTAATTTCTCTGGAATGCCAAGAGATAACGAATAAGACTGTTCCGCAGAACACAATTTAGAACTGCATTAAGATGACCTATCTCTCTGCCACCGGGGCATACACAATATGTTTGTGAGGTTCATAATAAAGGAAAACAGATGGCGGTATTTAAGTGGAGTGGAAAGTGTTGGGTGATATATTTTTTTAAATGAGTAATGGCCATTTCCCAAATGCTATATCTTCCATGCCTTTCTCATTTGCAAAATTAAATAGGAAGTACAATCTAGCTAGCCATTTTTCTTCCTTTACATTTTATTCATATTGGGTTTCTTTCAACCAGACACCAATGTATAGCGTATTGCTCAATCCATTTATATTTTAATATTTACAACTTCCAAAATAGAAGGGTGGTTGTATGTAAACAAAACTGGCATTCTTGCCAGGGCTTGCAACTTGTCCCTCTAACACTCATGTGGTGGATGAACTTGAACCAGCTGTGTAGGGCTATAAATCCTATGCTTTTTCTGCAGCTGTATAACTTTCCCCTGTAGGGGTGTGGAGGCAGCAAAGATTCCTGATCAAAGTGACTACCAGACAGATCTCTGGTTTGGCTGTTTAGCGTCTAAGCAGCAACTAGAAGCAGTGCTCTCTCTGTATGGAGGATAATTTTTTAAAATTTGGATTATTTTTTGGGAAACATTGAATAATGGAGTCCAAAGGCTTAATTCAAACAAATGGAACCCCATTTCCTTTTGAAGAAGTGGTAAGGCCAGGAGCTGCTGTTTTATTAATACCTTTAAATTATGCATTACTTAGCTCAGAAATCAGATAATATTGAATTAATGGTGTAGTCCTAAACAGAGTTATACCCCTCTAAGTCTATTAAAGTTAGTGGATTTAGAAGCCTCTGTGTTTAGGAGTGCACTGAAAGAGTGTAAGAATTTGTAGAGATATTAGGCTCTCTACTATTCTTCTGAATTTGAGTCCTTAAGAAGTGACTTAAATATTTGGAATAAAGACTGAGGTCAAATAAAATTGGAGAATTTGGGTTAGATCCAGACAAACCTTTTGTTAATACTGTCTGAAAAGCTACATCTGCCTCTCTTTGTTCAGAAATGAACTTTGCTCAGAATTGCTCTTACAAATGGAGGAACTTGGTTGACTGTTGGATGATAAAATGATAAAGCTGGATATGTTTCGAACTCTCCATTTGGTTAAATAATCAATGTGCAAATAGTCTCAATACACGGTGCAATTTATTTTGATTATGGATCCTCTTTGAATACATGCCCTTGCTCAACATTATCTCTTGAGAGTTTTTTGTATTTTTAATTTGTTTACAAAATAAAATGTTCAAATATACAAATTTTTCAAAGTTTAACTGCAACGGTCTTTTTTATAAGCTTTCGTATGTTTAGAGAGTTTGTGGGATCCTAAAAGTGATACTTAGATGGCACGGTTGGATGCTGTGTGCCCATTAAAGCTCCTTAGGAGCTAGGCAATGAATGCTGAACTTATTGGCCACAGTGCATCCAGTAGAAGGAGTGCCCTGCCATATAGTGCTGGTCTGGCAAGGCAAAGGTTTCTTCCCAAAACCTCATACCTCAACTTCTGCCAGGAACCCCAAATAATGTTCTGGGGTCTGTGGAGATTTATCATTATCAGTAAATTACTAGGAGTACTGGGAATTGGGCTTAACCACAATCTTGTTGTCCTTGAAATACTATCAGATTCTCCACCTGATAGGTATAACATGCCTGGTCTTCTGTGCATGTGTTTAAAGCTTGTTTCCCCCCATATTGTAGACTCTAGAACTGAAGCCTGTTGTACCAAATTATTGTATTACTTGTTTGATTTAAAGGTGAAATTAGCTGGGCAATATTCAGTCTTTGAGCCCCATGGTCTTTGGACACTGACTATGCGGAGTATTTTAAAAAAATGATTTGAAGCTCCAAATAGGACAAAATTACAGACAGCAATAATGATGTCTGTAAAAAATAAAATGGAGATGAGGCTGCACTTAAGCTATCCAAAGTACACTGATGTTTACTTATTTTGTTTTTGACAGGTGGCTGTTCATTCGATGAGCCATTCACTTCATGTGGCTATAGTCAGTCTGATGAAGATGATCTTAATTGGGATCAAGTGAACACGTTGGTGAAGCCTTCACCAGATCCATGGATGCCAACAGGTGGTTTTCATTTGATTTTTTTTAAAATTGTTATTACCACATAATAATATTGTTATAAATGAAAAAAACAGGAACAACCAGATATATGTCAGGAGGTAGATTACATGGTGTTCCTGAAATGATATAGTTTCTCTAATGCAAAAATATGTTCCTTTTCTATGTGATATCAAAAAAGGTGCATATCAGCATGTCATAAACATTAAATTATATATTTATTACATAAGACAGAGGAGAAGGGAATTGAAAACTATAGAAGGTGGACGTTGTTCCAATTTTTTTTTTATTCAGAATAGTTTTTATATTTATATTTGTAATGTATATAATACTAAGAGAGCCTTAAGAATCTCAGGGTGGTGTTACACCTGGAATTTCAGAAAGTCCATTAGAATTGGAAGCTGTGGAATGAAAGAGTGGGACTGTATAAAAATAAACTATCATTTGGAAATATCAGAAGTCAGGTTATAGATCAGTATAAGGTTCCAGAACAATTATGTTAGACAGTATTCACAGCTCTTTAAAGAAAGAAAATTATAATGTTGTGTCCAGTAATTATTTGTCTCAGATAGAATTTGTATAGTACGGCTATGGTAACAGGTACTGAAGTGTACCAGACATAGCATCCTGGCTTAAAGAAAAAGCTTGGAAATGGGCAGTTATTGGGGGGGGGGGGATCACCAGTATTATTAGACTTAAGCTGTGATCTTGTGTATCCTGGCAAGGCATGAAGTTTTATTGAACTCATTTGGATGTATGTTAGGGTTGCCATTCTCCTGGTCCGGGTGGGGAATCCCCTGGTTTTGGGGGCTTCTGCCCACTGCTGGCCAGTGGGGGAAACCCCACCCTCAAATAGCAATGTTGCCGGTCAAGGTCCCCTACACAATGACATCAGCTGGAAGTGATGTCATCACGTTGGGGGCGTTGCATGGTGACACTCCTGTTTTGGGGCAAAACTCTGTGGTTTGAGGGCAGTTTTACCATAGAGTCTTGCCCTCAAACCAGAGCATTGCCACACAATGTCTCCAACATTATAACGTCACTTCTGAATGAGATTATCACATCACGGCGCCCTGCCCCACTCCCAGAAGGCTCCCTCCCACTCCCACTGGCGCATCAATGAGAACTGGCAACCCTAATTTACTTCGAAGTACACGCCTGTAAACTTGAGCATGCTTAAGCCACACTGAACCCATCAAAATTTACCTCTGAGCAAATATATGTGGGGATTGAGTTTCACTGATACAGTCTTTCTACATATGCTTATGTTATTTTTAGTCTGGGACAAATTCCCTGAAAAACAACAGCATAGAAGGCAGTTTTGGTGAACAGTCTATGAATTCATTTTTGTGCATTTATTTTGAATGTTGCTGCTTCAAAAATGTTATTTTCTGAGCTCAGTTTTGCGATTCTTGTACTGTGAAACAAAAAAAGAACAAAGTGTCATCTGAAATAATATTTCTTCATAATTGACTAATTTAACAAAATCATTGTTTATTGTTCAGTGGAATAAAACAAAATACTTTTATGTAGGTTCATCATTGTGGTACCTATGCAGTCCTGCATGGGTACTGTGCATACCTATGCCTACCACAGAGAGATTTTTGAAACTCAAAGAAAGCCTGAGGGTTTTCTGTCCCCCCTCCCCACACCCCTCTGTTTCCCGCCTTTTCCAGCCTGATAAGAGGAGGCAAAGTGGCCTTTTCTCAGTTTTCTCTCTATCTTTGCTGAGAGAGGTTCTTTAGTAGAAGCTCCATCTCTTCTCCAACCAGCACAAACTGCCAACAATTCCACCTCAGTCCTCTGTCTCCAGACAGCTTATTGCCCAGAAAATGACACAGGAAGCACTCTTCAAAAATGCTATCAATGTTTGCAAATTAAAATTTATTTTCAGGACACACTTTGTGAATTGGTCTCTCTAGACCAGTGAATGCCTTTGAGAATATAATAGCCCACTGTAAATTTCCCAAAGGATTGTGAGCAAAATTCTGTTGAATGCTTATAGAGTCAGGGCATAAAAAACCAGTTTATAGAGCAAAGTGGCAATTAGGATTTGTAAGACATCTCAAATAATTAACAATTATTACTGGTGTTGTTTCCAAGAGAAGAGTATATTCATCCACATATGGTGTTGTCGTAATTTAAATGACTCTTCCATTGTGGAAATAAATACAACGAACTCTAGAAAAAGGCTCTGGGCAGGTGCCCTGGCCTTGGGCACTCAGCATCAAGACCTCAGCAGGGTATTATACTGTTTTCTTCAAGGGAACTGATCTCTGCCATCTAAAGAGCAGTTGTAATTCCGAGTGATTTCCAGCCCTCCCTTGGAGATTGGTAACAATGGTTCACCAGAAGAAAACAGCTGGTTTGGAGGGTGGAGCCTATGGTAGTGTACCTGTCTGAGGATCCACCCCTCCTCGAACCCCACCCTCTCCAGGCTCCACCCCCCAAAATCTCCAGGAGTTTCCCAAGCTGGAGGTGGCAACTCTATCTCCTTCCCAGCCAACCATCAGTGTATCGTTATTTGCCCATGTGACTTCAGGTTTCCATCTCCTCCCCCTCCCTGCAGCCTCTACCTAGGAAAAGTGCAGTCTTTATCCACAGTGAGGACCAAAGCAGCTCACATCATTCTCCTCTCCCCCTTTGATCTGCACAACAACCCTGTGAGGTAGGTTAGGCTGAAAGTCTGTGAGTGGTCTAAAATCACCCGATCAGCTTCCACAGGAAGAACCTTGATATAAAATGAAATGACCACTAAATGAACGCTCAAAGTTCTAGGAGACAAGTCGCAATTCCTGAGGTGTGCCAAGTAATGCAGAACCTGATGCTCTAAACAAGGAAGAGAACTCCCAGGCCTGATGGAATGGAATGGTTGGAAGGCCTTAAGGTAAGACCTGCAGGTGGAAGGTGCAACGAATTGAAATCCTTGCCAAATCATGAGTTCCCAGGGTTCCAGAGGTCCTCCAGGAATGCGTCTAGGTCCCTCAATGCATTGGGTGCCAAGCTCTGGAACTTCCTTTCCCGAAAGCAAGATAATATGATGTCATTGTTGATACCCACGACATACTTTTCTGAGAAGGAAATGTTACCATTGAGGCAGGTTAGAACACATTTACGAATAAGGCTCATAACCCGCTCAGAGTGAGAAGTTTTGGTGTATCTCCTGTTCCCCTAGATCCCAATGTATCTTCCTCTCACCTTATCTCCCCCACATACTATTTCCTCTCTCTTTTGCCTGTCCTGCCAGTTTTTGCATTAAACATATAATCTCTTCCCTGCACAGTCATTTCCAAGTCTGGGAAAGTGTGGTGGCTTGGGAAATGAGGTGGGCATATTGTAGAACCAAAGAAGTACAAGGATGCAGCTTGCAAAACTTGACAGTTGGCAGTTTGTGCTGGTTGGAGAAAAAGCATCACAGAAGTGGTTGCACTAAGAAGGAAAAGTAGGCCAAATCTCCACATTCCCTCACTTCTGATGGGGAGAGTAACCCCTTGCTCAAAGAGCAAATATGCATCTTTTGACCAGGTGGTTTGTGACACATGGTCAATCCATGTGTCACTAATCACCAAATTCCCTGGCTTGAATGTAGTACACGATTCTTGTGTTATGCAAACTCTTATCAGTTCCTGTTGCAGTTGATATCTAAATATTTTCTGGGTGAGGATGTTCCCTCCGAGAATCTTCCGGAGGTTTCCTGTTTATCTCATCAGGAAGGCTGAATCAGGTTGTGGTCCTGTTCCTTCATTTCAGTCTCTGCATTTTGTTTTGTGATGCCAGAGTCTTGTTTACTGGTTTTCATGCAAAACATAGAGGAAAGCAGATGTCAAGCACCAAGATAAAGGTGACAGGGACAAATTAGAAACAGTGTGGTGACAGTGTGGCCTTCTGTTACACAATGTGGTTACGGGCTCTTTTTGTAGCAGGAACTCCTTTGCATATTAGGCGACCCCCCCCCCAATGTAGCCAATCCTCCAAGAGCTTACAGAGCTCTTCTTACAGGGGCTACTGTAAGCTCTTGGAGGATTGGCTACATTAGGGGTGTGTCGCCTAATATGCAAAGGAGTTCCTGCTACAAAAAGAGCCCTTGTCTTACACTACTTATTTGCCTTCTCCCATTGAAATTAATGATTTTGCTGAAAAACCTCAGGGCTGCATCCAGAAAGACTGTTTTTTTTAAAAAAAGAGGAAAACAAAACTTTTATCCTAACTGAGTGGCTAGGGTAGAGGATGGTGTGCCAGTTTTTGGCTTTTTAATTAAACATAATCCAGGTAGAAGGACTCTTTTGACATGCTATTTATAAAAAGATGCTGCTTATATAGGGCCTAGTCTTGAGCCAGTATTGAAATAACTTCAGGTAACTGAGAATATTAGTATTGTTATAAGCAAAGCTTTTAATTAGTTTGAAACTGGGAGATATGTAGTAGAATTGTGTCAGCATTTTCTAAAGTCTCTGGCAGTGAATAGAATATTTAGATTTATGATTTGTAGATGTTTCTGTCTTTCATCATGAATAACTTTCTGTAATAAAAGTATTATTATACTTGATGAAACATTCATTGAGTTAATGCTCTTCAGTAATCCCATCAAAAGCAAAAGGAACTTGCAATGACATTCCTAATTTCAGACACTTGTGCTTCAGTGAGTGAGTTAATGACAATATGTAATGTTTCACAATCAGTTAGGCAGCATTAGGAAAGTATAAAATGTAGTTCTTGATTTTAATATTTTATGTTATATTTGTGATGCACTTGCATGTTGAAATATTTCCCTATTTTAATAAATGTCTTTCATTTTTGTACAATGCATACTGTATAGATTGCCCTTACAATATGTCATGACCTTGCGGTTCATCTGCCGTTTCATTTCATTTTATTCCAATATAATTACCCCTACTACATACCTTCTTACTAAACCTCCCAATACCTCCTGGACCATACTCCTTTAATGCTCATGGGCATCTTGTAATATGCATTCAGAACAACAACAAAAGTAAAATTGAACCTTT